ATATCTGTAGAGATTGTGCACAACTTTTTCCCATATCTCATCTCAACTAAGTTTTCTCCCTCATACATCTCAGCCATTGTTTTTGATGAACTCTCATCTGCAACACCTTCTTCATGATCATCATCAACATCATCACCCACCTTCTCTTCTAGCCAGCTCTTAGGCGGAGCCGAGCGGCACCGCATGAGCAAGAGAGCGTTGCGTGGCGGGACCACGCCAGGATCCTCCCCGGAAGCTTCTCCGCGTTCTTCTTCTGCGGAGCTGGCTACCGGGTTCTGCTGGGGTTCTTCCAAGACCATGAACCATTTAGAAAACATGGCTCTTTCCTCGGGTTTTGCCTCGCCTCCATCATCAGTGTTCTGTGTGCCAGTGTCTTCTTCTTCATCATCCTCGTCGTCGTCATCGTCATCAGAGGTGGCAGAAGAGGGGAACGCGCCGAAGCAACGAAAGTCGAAGCGTATGCCACGCAGGCACGCGAAGAACTGCATGACGTCCTTCTTGAACCAGAGGGGGGAGGACGGCGGCGATGAGCCCTTGTAAGTATGGCGTCTTTCGTGGAGCTTCTCTATCTCCTCCATGACGGCCTGCCAATTTTTACCCGAACTGGCAGGCCGGCCTGGCCGGACCTTGATCTGTCCGGCACAGGTGACTTTAGGAGATGTTGGCTCGGCGATCTCGGAGGCTTGCTCGCTCCCTCCGGACCGCAATGCTAACAACTTCTTGCGGTGGTGGTGGTGGTGGTGGTTGCGTTTGCTGGCCTGTAAGAGCGTGGCCGGGCTACAAATGGGTTTAGGACCTTTGGGCATAAGGGTTAAATGTGATCTTGAAGGAAGGCAAACTAAGAGGTCTTTTGATGTATTGGCATAAGGGCATATAGGCCTCTTGCTCTCTCTCAAATTCATTGTGTGCCTTTCTCTCTCTCTCTCTCTACTTGTTGAAATCTTTTGGATATCTTTAGTTTTGAATCACATCTCTCATCAAGTGTGTTTATTATGGGGGGTTTTTAATTGAGCTGTATGAGGACCTTAGCTTTTTGAACTTTGAAAAAGGAAGCAAAAGTGGAAAGTGTGGGATAGTGGGCGATTTGTATAATAATAATATGCTTTATGATTTAATTTGTATGCTCACATGCATGTATCATGTATATACATATGTAACTTGATCATGTTTCCATGGGTGTTTTAGTGCTTTAATGTGAAAAGTGCTTTCTTGCTGGCTGGGATAGGATAACAACCACTTGATATGTGGGTTCTCAATGAGTATGGTGCATCTTAAACCAGATATGAATTACTTCCCTTTTTTTTGAAAATTTACCTAAATACAACTAAAATATAATGACATTTTTTAATATATGACCATATGTTTTTATTTCTTAATGTAGGATCATTGGTCATTATCCATTAGCCATTATTCAAGTAAATGTATATCATCACTGGACATTATTCCTCACACTAGACATTATTAAATATTATTTAGGGAATAAAAATATTTAAATCCTACATTAGGAAATGATGTATGTTCTAGTCCTATTTAGTGTAAGTTTTTCTTTTTTAATCAAATTTGACAAACTATACTCATACATTATGAAAAAAAGTTTATTTAATTATTATAATTTAAATTTATTATAATTAAATTCATTTTGAATATCTAAAATCACATGCTCCCTTGAGCCCGATATATTTTTAGATCAATCAATTCTTGATTAAATTATACAAACTTTGATCATAAAGTAAATTTTATATACGAAATTTTATACTTTATTCTTGGATTCATTTTGAAACGTAATTTTATATACGAAATTTTATACTTTATTGTTTTCCTAACTCATCAGTTTAAGGTATGAAATTTTATTAATAGTCTAAGTACCACATTGATCACGGTAAAGTGCCGAACAGGGAGTCTTAAGAATATTTCTTTGAGAGTCAGAGATCAACGCTTATAGTTTTATTTTTCAAAAAAAAAAAAGAGCCACGATGACAGAAAAAGTGATGACTCCATTTTAACCCTATGTACCAAACAAACAAATAGACAGATGATTATTATTATGTATATCTGTGATAATATGATACATGGAGTTAATGAAATGTAACCAGATTAAAGTGGTATTCCCTTGCACAATTCTTTATTTTTTGGCCATAGAATACCGGGGATACAAGACACTTTTTAGGACATGATTTTGATACTTAAATATGCACATAACATATGCTAATATCTTTAACTAAATAGGAGTAATTAATTACTTCTAAAGGAAAAACCAAAAATCATTCATTAGAATTGACCTTAACCGAAAAGTTAGGGGTTGGTGAATCTTCTTCGAGAAAATAATAATAATAATAATAATAATAATAATAATATAATTTACGGAGTACTTTGTATTTTGTTTTAGTTAAGACAATATTTGTATTATATAAATTACTTTGGTTTTAAAAAAATTCCACATTTTGAGTTGTCTGGTCAACTTTTTACATACTTTGATTACAAATTGTCTGGTCCCGATTTTGCCTATCAGTGATTTTAAATCGGACAGGGCGTCGAACCGGCGAGAAGGTCGGGTCCCGATTTTTCCCGGATAAACCCAACTTTCTTTTCGTGGGTTTTGGGGAGGCTTGGACCGGACCATTACGTGTCCGGACCCATGGACTCCTTTTCGCGCGAACATTTTGGGATCTAAATTGCCTTTTTTATGTTATTTTTTAAATGATTTCTCAGATCATTTTCAAGAACTCTTAGCTTGATTCGATACTAATTTTTTCCCCTGATTTTTAATCGTGTTTCAAGAAATAATATTATTATAAAACTACTCCGTATTTCTAATAATTAAATTGATAAGTTTTAAAACGAATTGTATGGTTTTATTTCATTGTTCAGTCAGGTTTCAAACAATAATTTTCAACTTTATAGTATTTCATTCGCACCGAAAAACAAAAACAAAAAAAATTGCACCACATTAATACAACACGGAGTATTTCAAGTCCACTGTTATACCTCAACGAGATATAAACTCCAAAATTAAATACCCAATGATGATACTTAAAAGAAAAAATAAGTAATGATTATGGATAAATAAAAAACATTAAATTAAAAACAAACTAATTAAACTACATTCAAAACAATAGAAATATAGTGTTGCAATTATAAGCAAACATGATGCATACACTAAAACAGACTTCCATGGCTAGCCTCAAATTTTATTGCTCTAGGAAAAGATTTATTGCTATAGGAAGAATTTGAAAAGCCCAAGGTTAATCTTCTGAATCTAACTTATCATCCAAATTAATATGTAAAAAACTTTAATTTTGGATAAAAAAAATCATCATTGTAGAAATTGAAAAGAATTAGAAGTTAAATTTTTCCAACAAAAAAACCAGTTTTTTGTCGTGAAGAAATTAGTCGATGAACATAAAAACATTTGGGCATGTAATTCCCAACAAAGGATGTTGGTAATTTTCTTCTTGTGTACTGGTAACTTTTCATGATCAATATTACTACGTATTAAGCTTTGGTCACAATTTATTGAAAAACTGCATTGTAGTATAACATAAATTTTAAAATTGAGAGATTCATATTTAAATGAAATTTTGAAATTTCATATTTTTTGAAATACATATAGGTATATAAATAAAGATACTAATCAAATATCGCATTAGAGCATATAAAAATTAAACATGTTGCAAATATTTTCTCCGCCTATAAAAATATTAGCCCGAAATTAGTTTCAATTTCATTTACATGAAAATTAAAAATAAAAAATAAGAATTACCACAGAGTATAAACAGAGTATGAGGTTATGTAAAGATACTTTGTGACTAGGAGATATGGTTTGACTGTCTACCCCAGATTGCCCAAGTTTCATGGGATGGATGGACTGATAAAATCTACTACTAGTATTTTTAAACCATAAACAAAAGTATTTTGTATGTACTATACTTGTTTCTCTGTGATGCATACCCATAATAATTTTTTAGATTTAAATTGTGTTCTAGTTTCTTCAGTCTAAACAAAAGGCAGGGAAATTTCAAAAGAATTGGTCTTGGGATAAGGGATTTTAAAACTTATCCAACACAGAGTTGAGCTCTTAGTTACACTTGCAGCAATTTCAATCAAAATGTTACATAAGCTAAATGGTATCTATGTCCATAGTCATAACCAACTTCAGTTTGGTTCAAAGAAGGAATGGAAAATTCAAAAAAAATGGATAAGTAAAGAATTGTGTTTGATTTGATGGAAAGAAAGAGGGAGTGAGTTGAAGAAAATGTGGCTAAATTAAATTCCTGAGGTGAACTTTTAGAACATACTCTGTTGTACTTGAGTACAGAAGTGTGCAAATGAAAAATGTTTAGAGGAAAGAATTGTGAGGTACATATTTGATTCAAAAAGATGTTACAATCATTTTTGAAGTGACATAAAAGAAAAGCTCTTTGAGTAAAACTCATTTTAGGATTGTGGGAAGATATATTTAGAAATATCCCTTACAATAGGGATATAAGACATAGTTGTGGACTTTGTGAATGGAGATAAAGAAATCATATTGGGGAGGGATGGTATATATGTCAGCTATATTGTTCTCAACTCTTGAACTTAAATGCATGAAGAAATAATAAGATTAACTTGAAAACAAAAGGCCCCCTAGATAACAATAACACCCAATTAAAGATTCAGCAACCAGCACATGAATCAAACTAATATGGATTCAAGAAAATAAAATAAAAGCAAAATGCATTCCAGCAAAAAAATTAATGTGTATCTCAAAAATCTGGTGTTGTAATGGGCTCAAAGGAGGGACAATACACAGCCAAATGCAGGAGAATTAATCTCTCATTTAATTTTTTAACACCAATCCAAAAGAAAAGCAAATCATTTGTAAATTGAGAATACATTGGAACAATGCCTACTCATATTGTATATTTGCATTTATCTTTTAACAGAAACAGATTCCAAAACCCAAACAAATCATTAGAAAATCACATTCAAATACCTATTGAAATCACAAGAACAGTATGATAAACAAGAAGCATTCATTCAAGGAAAAACACAAAATTAGATCCTGAAATGTTGTAGATTGAGTAACAAGAAATAAGTTTGAAGATGAGAGACACAAAATGCAAATCCAGTACTAACAGTAGGAATCTCAGATTTCCAACAGATTTATAAAGAAAAAAACAGGTTTACCTAGAATCGAGCCCAGAACTACCACCATTTCAGCTCAGAACCTGAGCTTGGTGAAGAACCAGCGGTTTTTGCCGCTCTTGAACCTCTCCTCGAAACGGGCCTTCGCCTCCTTAGCAGCGGTGACCTTTTTGTCGCGAGTCTGGAGGCAATCGGGGGTGACGACCTCCTTGAGATCCACGTCGAGCGTGTAGCGCGTGGGCATAATGTGCTTGTAATTGACCATCTTCACGAACACCTTGACGCGAGACTTCTTCGCGCGCTTCTTCTCAGAGTCCTTCCTGATGATCTTCGCCGGATACTTGGCTATGCCGGCAACGAGGCACCGGCCGTAGGAGCGTCCCTGGGGACCATCGTCGAAGCACTTCACGATCACCGCCTTGCGACCGGCGTACCGGCCCTGTAGAAGGATCACCGCCTTGCCTGGTTTGAGAAACTTCACCATCCTTGCGCCTCTCTGCCGCCGCTGCTCAGCTTAAATGTCTGTCTCTCTCGACCGCTTGTCTCGAAACCCTAACGGCGGGTTATATGTATCCTTAACTCCTTGCGTCTCTTGAAAAAACCCTATCGGTGGCCAGTTTAATGGGCTTCATTTTGTAACTGGGCCTTTCAAAAAGTGATTAGTTTAGTACGGAGTATTCAATTGCACAAGATAAAACTTTTGTGAGCATATTTGCTCAAAGAGATCCGAGTGTATCCCAAAGTGGCAATATGTTAGTATGATAAAAAGTTTTATACTTACATTTTGTGGATGTATAAAGTATCACACTGACACATAATAATATTGCATATAATCGTAGCGTACACTCATTCTTGTTTGTTAGCCTTTTCGGGTGATTTGAGTGACACTGGAGGTCAGTGGCATATGATTACATTCAACCATTTAGACATCTATAATATTTTGTTCTTAAAAATATATGATACTTACATCTCTACCCCTTGCTAAATTCCTCACCCAGTCCTCTATCCACATGTCTTCCCTATCAATTAAATCTTGTAGTAAATCCACGAAGAATAAGGCTAGTGTAGGGGCAAATGGCTGGGTGGGGTTAAGATAGAGTTACGAAAAGTAAAAACCATCAATATGGGAATGAATATCGTAAGAACTAGTACCAATGTTTCATAACCTTTTATCAATTATATGTACTCCGTAAAGGATTAAACATAAGAACTCATTATAACTAGAATTATCAATAGAAAGTCTATTTTGACACCACTCCTGATGTCAAACATTGTGTAACGCTTCGAAATACACCCTAAAATTATTATTAAATTCTTTTTCCGTTAAATAAATTTGTTTTGATTAGAATAATTTGTTATTGGACTTTGGGCCGAAATAAAATATGTTTTGATATCTAATATCACAATCTAGATAAATCTCATAAAAATGAATCAATATGTTAACTTTATGTGTGATTTGATTGAGAACCAAAGTAAATGATTTATTGAAATCAATCATGAGAATAAATAATACAAATTATTAAATATGAAAACCTTTTTGAATAAAAGTCAATTAAATCAATTTTGACTCTGTCAAAGTCAAACACCCAAAAATATGATGTCGGAAAAAGTATTACAAATAAATATAAAAATTATGTTGTTTGATAGAGTTTGACGTACTGTCTGATCGCAATTGTGCAAATGGATTTCAATTCGGAACGGTGCCTCCTCCTCCACTACGCCGATTGTGAATCACGTTATTCACGTATGATGCAGCAATGGTTATTGCCTTCTTCAAGCTCTCCCTATACAAGGAAACCCAATCCTTCTCATTCTTCACCAAAACATTTAATTTCTTCTATTTTATTCTTTGTTGAGAGAGAAGTGCATTGGTGCTGTCAATTTGGTGAGAGGTTGCTAAAGTAAATCATAATCCTCGTCAGAAGTTTCACCTGAATTTTCCCAAAATCTCCGATTGAGTCCGAGATAAAGAGAAAGAATTATGTGACATGATCCTGGCGGTAGACAGAGGCGGGAGAGTCGGGATAGATGTGATGGTTTGAATTTAAGGACATAAATTAATTATATCTTGTGATTTGATAAGCTACCGCAACATTAAAAATTCCGTACTGTTTCTATTATGAATACTATTATTGTGATAAATAAGAGTGTTTGAAATATTTTAAATTTCATGATTACCAAATTTATACATTAGTCCGAACAAGGCTGCAGACTTGGATGGATTAGGATGTTACACGCTGGCACTAATTCAACTCTAAAAGAACAATAGTTACGTTGGGCAAAGACCCAAGAAGAGTTGAGTCTCAGGCAAACAACGCTTAAAGGACTACATGTTTAGATATAGATTGGGTGTAAGATCAGGGATAGCTAAACTGCGTTTGGTGAACCATACATTTGTGTGCACTAAGTGTCCTTCAAGGGGACGATTTTTTCTAGAGCAACAACTCTTTTTAGTGGAAATCAATTATGAAATAAGAGCAATTATATTGTTTGACTATAAAGTATTTAACTAATTTCTTAGTTGTGTTTGATAATTGAAGAGCTTAATTAGTTTGACATCATACGTGAATCCCTTACTCAAGTTCAATAGAAGAATTTATGGTGCTCCGATCATAAAAAGTTCAATAGAAGAATTTATGGTGCTCCGATCATAAACTTGATGATTAGAACCCTCTAACCCCCTCCCCCCACACCAAGTCCTCTTGCCCCCTCCCCCACTTTCTCAATATGATAAATAATGATCAAAGGAAGGGAACTTTCTCAATATGATAAATAATGATCAAAGGAAGGGAGTTAGAGACTAAGAACTACGAAAGAGCATGATGCGTATTTAAATTGAATTGCTAAAAATGATTCGTGTGTAAGTAGAGTCAAATTAGACTCCCTCAATTATGAAACATAGCTAAAAAAATGTCATATACATTATGGTCAAACAATGTAAATGTTGCTCTTTCATATTGAAAGTTAGTGGTAGAAAAAAGATACCAAATTATAATAAAATAAATTATTAAAAAAATATGGTTAAAATTTTGAAAATAAAGTGAACACGGTAGACTCCTTAGTCCTCATGTAGTAATCCAATACCATTAGAGCTGAAAAATAATTCGATCAAGTCGAGTTCAGATAAGTTTGAGTTGGGAGGTGCATATCACGACCTAACGTTATCGAGTTTAGATCAACCTTACAAGTTATGATCGAGTTGAGAGATACATGTCACGACCTAGCATTTGTATTTTCCATTAACATAGCATGAGTTGGGTTTATATATATATAGGGGACGATTCTTATGACATTAGAACATCATGTCATGGGGGATGACCCGAGGCCGCTACGGTGCTCCATTCGTAAAATTGATGGTTCTTACCTCCTAACCCCCGATCTGCTTCGACCAGAACACCACAACCCCACCCCCTTCAATTGCACCCAAGTTAATTGTGACGTTGAAGTCAATTTTGACTACAAAGTCAAAATTAACTTGGGGGGCAATTGATGAGGGTAGGGGTGTGTTCGGGTCGGGGCGGAGTGGGGGTAGGAACCATCAACTTTACGAGCAGAGCACCATAACCGCTTTAGATCATTCCATGACATGTGGTTGAATTGATTTTAATAAGAATAAATAATACTCTCTATTTCTATTAAATTGTCTATTTCATTTTGCGTGTCAAACATTTGGCTAATTATGTACTTGGTATAAAAAATACAATGAATTAAAATATTAAAATTATGCCAAATTATTGTTATTGAAAAATGAAAAATATTTTAAATGTATTATTTTCAATTTTTTTTGTTAATAAATTCTAAGAGCTCGTCAAACTTTGAAGTTCAAAAAGGGAATTTGAAGTTTGAACAGCTCTTTCCTCTCCCAACTCCATGCGACGACCGGAGACGACGGCGATAGCAATGGGAGACCGGCAGAAACTGAAAGGATGACGGAGAGCAGCTGCGGAGGAACTTGGAACAGGTTAATACTTCGATATCACACCTCGATGTCTTTATAGAAATTGTGATTTTACTTGATTGCTTCTGGCGGTAAATCTTGGTCTCTAGGGCGTAACTATTTGCAGAATTGAGATTTCGAATTATATGATTTGATTCTTGTGAAGAGGTTGCCTCAATGTAAAGCTATGATTAATTTGCTATGAGAGTGCGTTTTTAATTAATTGGTTTATGTTCTTCGTCTTGTTGTTGTACTTTCATTACTTAAGAAATGGTAGCTCGGATGCTCACTGGATGACCCATGAGATGAAGAAATGGTAGTCAGAGGTTTGATGCTGGTTACCCTCCGCAAATCGCCATGGCCCGAGTTTCTCTTCTCCACTCATATCGTTCTAAGGGCACAATTTTTACATTCTGTATACCGAAAAACATGGTACTTTTCTCTCTTCATAACTATCTCCTCCTACAGTTTTGCTTGTGTGGCGAATAACAATTTGATATCGGGCATTCTAGTCTTTGTAATCATATATGCAAGGTTTTCTGGAATGAGCCGGCAATTGGGCCACTCTATGGACCCCGAAATTGCAATTTTAGAGGGATAAATTGTGTTCGGTTTCTATCCACGTTTCCCAGAGCTCCAGAATCAGTGGCTGGTGGAAACGTTGCCGCTGATGGTATTGACCCATCTAAGGAAGTGAAAGTAAAAAGAAAGAAACTGAAGGGTAGAAGGGCGGTAGTGAAATGGTTGAAGTGCCTCAGGTGGAAGAAGAAGAAAGAGTTCCAGAGGATGACTGCAGAGGAAAAATTGCTTTTCAATCTGAGAAAGGTAAACACTTTTATCACCTCGTTCTAGTGGGACGATAATTAGGATGACTCCTGAATTTGTGCTTGTCAACAATGTAATTCTTACAAAAGGGACAAACAACACCGAAACCCATTTTAATCCCAAGTCCATTAAACCTTTGATCCATAATGTATTAACTACCTAAACTTCAGCTCTAGTTGTTTTACGGTATCCAAAGTGTTTCGGCAATACTGGAATTACATATCTGCTGATGATCTTATATCGCTGTTTAACTAGGGGTGCAATTTAGAGTTACATAGAACTTTTCAATGCTCAGAAGTGGTCAGAATGATAGAGTAAAATTTAGAAATTTATAAATTTCAATTGGTGTATCCTAAACTAGAGACGTAATTTTAAGAGAATGCTAATATTATCATTGTACTAGGCACGCAAAAAAGAAGAAAGGCTTATTGCAGCTTTAAAGAAGATTGAACCTAAGGAGACGTCAGAAGCTACCCATGACCCTGAGATACTGACTCCCGAAGAACACTTCTACTTCTTAAAGATGGGGCTGAAATGCAAGAATTATGTGCCTGTTGGAAGACGCGGGATATACCAGGGTGTGATCCTCAACATGCACCTGCACTGGAAGAAGCACCAAACACTTAAAGTCATTGTGAAGACCTTTTCTCCTGAGGAGGTCAAGGAAATTGCTGCAGAACTGGCAAGGTTAAGTGGTGGGATTGTTCTTGATATTCAGGATGATGACACCATTATTATGTACAGGGGAAAGAATTATTCACAACCGCCAACAGAGATAATGTCTCCCAGATGCACACTTCCTAGGAAAAAGGTTGTCTTTTCCTTCTTTGCTTCCCATAATAAAGTTCTATCTTGCTTACTCTGTAATCTAAGACGATCCCACCATATTTCTTTGACTGCCAGGCTCTAGATAAATCCAAATATAGGGATTCCTTGAGAGCTGTTAGGAGATATATACCTAGACTGGAGCATGATCTTGAGCTGCTTCAAGCCCAAGCAGGGAACAATGCTAGTTTTCCAGAAGAAAACAAAATGATTGGCTCAGAGAGCTGTAATTCTGATCATCATTTTGAGTTGCAAGCTGAAGCATCCAAACAGCTGAATCAAGTAATGCATCAAACTGGTCAACAGGATGATGAAAATGACTCGGTGGAATCTGATCCAGATGTCGATTCTGAAGATCTATCTGATATTTTTGAGACCGAGTCTGAGGAAGAGAATGAGGACAGGAATGACACGCCTCTTTATTTGCATGAATTTGAAAAGTTTCCTTCTCTAAGTAATCGGGAAACCAAAGATTTTGAGGAAGATTTGAGTCAAGTATGTGCTGATTCAAGGAGAGGGACATTGCAAGGCAGAGATATAAAAGCACCAGATTTAGAAGAAGTTGATAAGATGATCCTGCAAGCTGCATCCCTTTTGAAGAAAAACAGGAGATGAAAGCCTGTTTCTACAGGTTGGTTAACTCATTCCTTTAGAATTTGAAACTTGAGAGCGAAGTTTTGTACTTCAGATTCTTTTCAACCTATTTGTCTGAATCACAGCATCAGGTAAAATTAGGTATGGAATAGTAAAAGAGTGTTAAGTGTTGGGGTGGGATGACTGAATTGTAGCATCAGGAAATATGCTCGGCTAAGTTGCACGGAGACTGGAAACACTAATTTAAATTTTACAAATAATTTGGGTGTCAACTGTCAAGATGTCCCCATGTACCCAAACCGGGACAGTAAACGGCACTTGTTTGAAGAATCTTTGCAACAGTGATATGATCAGGCAACAAAGTTCATTTTTTACACACTATGAGTATAACGTCTCTATTGTGCCTCTTCACTTGGAGTACATAACAACATCATTAACAGTAACATTAGTAATTAGTAGTAATCATAATTGTTAACAACAATGATGATGATAATCATGGTTGTATCTGAGCCGAGGATCTTCAACAAACAATCTCTCCACTCCACATGGGTCGAGGATCTTAGGATCCTTCTCCCGTTGTAACCATCTTGGTCCTTCGCTCATTCTTAAGGAGTTTAATATGCTCAAAGTATCTCCTTACCCTGATACAATAATTCGTTATTGTATCAGACATTTTTTTCATTAGGTGAGACATGTTGGATTTGCACTAGTACAAAAGGTTATTCCTAGTCTAAACCACCATGAATCTCATCCAAAAGATTCTGTTGGACCCTTGATGTCAACGTCTAAGGCAACCCCAAATGCTTTTCCTTCTTGAACGTGGTTTTGGCCTACTTTATTTGGCTACTTGTTTGTTGGAAGTCCATTCAGAGCATCCTATGATCAATTTAACCTGTTGGCCGTTTGAAAGTTTATTCCATGTGGCCCGTGCTCCTTTAGTGTTGCCACTATTTTTTGTGATTTTATTTCTGGATGAGGGGAGTCTATTTGCAAGTAAACAACAACAACAACAACCCAGTTAAATCCCACAAAAGTAGGGTCTGGGGAGGGTGTGTGTACGCAGACCTTGCCCCTACTCGGAAGTAGAGAGGCTGTTTCCAAAGAGACCCCCGGCTCAACGTCGAAAGTTGCATTGCTTAACTAACTGCTACTTCATTAATTAAAGAAGCACAGACAGTTTAGAGATCCATTTTGATTTATTCCATCACATCCCAAAGCCAAAAATGGTGAAATTTTGGCTCCATCCGAGATGATGGAAATTCTATTTGCAAGTAAATGATGAATTAAATTTAAAAAACAATGTCAATTATCCACTTAGAGGTAGAGAGCCTGTGTGATGGAATTTTGCCTATGAGGTTTGAAAACGACCAAAATGTTGAAGGTTTGAAAACCGACCAAAATCTGGTGGAATTTCGCCTACAAGGTTCTTCTGAAACATCTGAACAGAAGACAGTTGTGTAGCTGACAATCTACCCATGCCTAATGGGCATTTTGCCACACAATTGATCCATGAACAAGGTCATCCCCTCGTTCTTCGTACGATTTCTGAATTCTTATGGGATGTTTCTTGTCATGATGTCATTCTCTGACAATCTGTTCACGTAGATGCAAAGAGTGCTCAAATTCTTGAGGATGAACATGCTACTAGGAATATCTTCAGTTGATCCATTTGTTGACAAATCCATAAACTCTCTTATTTTCATTAGATTTACATTAGTTTTTTCATATTTTCCTGGTTCATCCGAAGATTTGTGGGATTTCCACTGGAGAGAAGGGAATCTGGCTCAAAAGAACTCCAAGGTTCAAGAAGTTGTGAATCTTTGAAGGGAACGAGCCATTTGTGACTGCTTCTACAAGCTGTAGCCCTTTTAGCTTGCAATTACAGCCAGCCTAGGTGAACTCTGGCGACTGCATGCACCATCCTTTTAAAGGTACGTACGTATAAGAAAATAAATGTAAGAGCTATAAGAGAAATAGAAGTAATGGAAGTAGAAATGGTATAGGAGTGCACTATTTAGTTTTTAGTTGTGCCACTCATAATAAAAAGTATGAAACACACTTGACAATTTCAAAAACAAAATCATGTATGGGCAATTGCCTATTTGCACCTCCCTGTCACATGAAAATGAAATTGGCATGCGATTGACCAAATTGTTAGCACTAGCTAGACTTGTGGTGGTGCCCCTCTAGTGGTGGTGATTATGTTGTGTGAGGATTATCAGAGAAAGTGATGCACTTAAAAGAAGCATTTGATGATGATTCAATTGTTGTTCCCTCTGAGTACCCTAGTAGCTTAAGAGACAAGTTTCACACCAATTCATTCACCACTTTATCCGAGGACTTGATTCGTTTAAACAAAAAACATATTCACACTAACAATGATTTTTCATATTGGGTGCAAGCATGTAATGTCTTCATGTTAAGCCACATACAATACCTTCTGCTTCATGTTATGATGAAGACATTTCATACATGAAGAAAGATAACACATTAAGCATAATATGTTGTAGGTGTCTCAACATAAAGACAATGGATATCTACACCCAACATGAAGGATCATTGTTAGTGTGAATGTGTTCTTTTTCTAAACGGATCAACTCCTCATAGAGTAGTGAATGAATCGGTGTGAAGCTTGTCTCTTAAGCTGATAAGAGGCTTAGAGGAAGCATTAATTGAGTCATCATCAAATGCTTCTTTTAAGTGCATCTCTTACTCTGATATTCCTCGCACATCATAATCACTATTTATTGAAGGGGCATCGCCATTGGTCCCGCTATTGCTTACAATTTGGTCAATTGCCTACCAATTTCATATGGTACAAAATTATGAAAATATTACTTTGTATTTTTCTAGCACGGGTTTTGTTAAGGATGCTTATAGATTGACAAGATTATTAATGTGTTAATGAGAGTAGAAAATCAACTATATACTGCTATAGGCAATTGCCCTACATAATGTTTTTTGAATAATGAATCACCTTAAATAGGTGTAAAACATTGAGAAAGTACCAAAATAAGAGCTTCATCTTTTTATCCCAAAAGAAGAATTTGCATTGTGGTAATGGTATATGAATATTTCACAGTATTTTTTGATAATGTATATGGTCATGGATGACACTGTAAATACATTTTTACTCCTATTTTAGGAACAAAAATATAGAACTTCTATTTTTGTATACTTCCAATGTTTTACTCCTATTTTAATTTTTTCTCTTTTCTAATAATGAAGTATGTTTCATACTTTTTTACTACAAATTGGCACAAGTAAGAATTGCACTCTTATATCACTTCTCCTTTCCATTTCTCCCACTCCTTTGATAGTTTTTGCATTTATTCTCTTATAACTTATAAGTGTCTACCTTTAAGAATGCTGCTGGTTTTTTAAATGACAATGACAATAAAGGACAATATATATCCTTAGGCCATGTGTTATGGGGGATTGACAGAGTCCGGGTGTAAAGATGTATGATGTGCAGTGATGAAAAATATGAGTTATTGTGAGTGTGAAGGAATGTGATATTGTGTAAATGTGTGTTAAGTTTTGATTGGTAGGAATTTAAAAAAATGGGGCAACAAAGGGATGACCATGCTGCGTGCGAGGTCACGCCCAAAAAATTAGAAGGCGTCGTGGGAAAGGGGCGTGTATGGGGGCGTGAAGGAGGAGGTCAAGCCCTCCTCAGTCCTCACGCACCATAACACATGCTCTTATGATGCTTTAAAGTAGGAATCAAAGGAACAAACTACGAAGAGGCATGCTAAAAATTGAATGACGAGCGTTTTGTATGAGAGCACTGGAAATGGTTTTGAAGCCCCGGGGCTTTAAACTTCTTCTCTCTGCCACATCAGCTTTAAATTACCTCACCAATTCACTGGAAATGGGTTTGAAACCCCGGGGCTTCAAACTTATTTTTTACTCCCTCCGTCCCATTTTATAACGCATGTTTCGGTTTACGATGTTTGACTGGAGTTATTTTCAAATCATTTTATATGACAAATAGTATATAGTTAAAAAATAAAAATTACATATCAAAATACTACATCAAAAGATCTACAAAACTAGTAGTGACAACAATATTTTATTTTATCAAATTACTAATAAAAATAAAGAAAGAAAGTGAATGAAGTTTGACCCTGTGAATAGTGAACATGCATTATAACTTGGGACGGAGGGAGTACATTTTAAATACACAGCTTCTAAAATTAAATTAATAAAATTAAATTATTTAATTTTATTCATTAAAAAATTACATTCATAAACAACAAATACATTCATTAATTTAAAAAAATTAAATTCGTTCATTAAAAAATTACATTCATTAATTAAAAAAATTATATTCATTAAATAAAAGAATTACATTAATCAAATAAAAAAATTATAAAAAAAGTACACGGTGCGGTAACGGGAAAGGGGGGGTGGGGGGGGGGGAGGGGGCTCCAACGGCCAAATTTTGGCCTACAATTTGCGTCAAAAGTTTGATGCTGCAAAAATAACGTCTCGATAAAGAGAAAGGGGGGCGGTGCTTAACGCCCTCCAAGCGTCAAAATGGGCATAACGCCTCTGGGCGTCAAAATGGGCATACCACTACCCTGAGGTGTTGAGAGCCTGATTGCTCATTGGCATCCATAACTATATTTAAAAGAAATAAATATTGTTTGCTCAATCTTTTTCATAATGTGTGGAAAACCTACACCTCTCATAAAGCTTACTATCTCCGTCCTATAGTATTAATCAAGTTTGAATTTTTGGGTTAAATTGAACAAAAAAATCATCCTAAATAAAAGTAAAACATAGAGAAAATATCAAATGAAAAGCTCCATGTTTTTATTTCAAAAATAGGAGTTCGCGATGTGGTAATGTGACAATGCATATGAACATTTCATAATACTTTTTGGTAAAGTACATGATCATGATTGGTACTATAAATGAATTTTAACTCTTATTTCGAGAATAATTACATGAAAATCATATTTTGGTATATTTTCAATGTTTTACTCCTACTTTATTTTTTTTCCCTTGAACAACCTTTGGTCATCTCTTAAACTATATATTGGATATTTTATAAAAACGATCTCATTAGATTTATCATGTTGAAAATTATAATAAATTTATTTTATTATATTAGTGAGTGTTAAGCTGGTCAAAACCATTTATAAGTAATTTTTAACTTATAAATTAGCTGATGACATGTTTTAGTGTGTTTATAAGATTACTTATAAACTATTTATAAGCCAGAAAAAATAGGTAGGTTTTAGCTACTTATTTTTAATAAGCTAGTTTTTTCGTTTCTCCGTTTTGACCAGCTTATTTTTTAAACTGTCACTCGCCAGTTATGAATATTTCCAAGTGACTTACCTATCATTTAAGTCATTTTACTTCTATTAAAGAATATTTAACTTTTAAGTAACTTATAAATTAAAAACTACTTATCAGCAATAAACATAATAAGCACCCGCACAGAGAAACGTTACCTTAATATACAAAACATATTTAATATAATTGATGATTAAAGTTCATCCTATAATACGGAAGGACTTATTGAATAGTTTGTGTTATATAGTTTAATTTGATAGCTTAACTATTGTTATATATTTTTATTTAATTTTTTATTGTTAAGTGAAATTATAACAGTTTTAAGAATTTTTTAGGGTTAGTTAAATATTTTAGCTATAAATACTCATGTATCTAGTTATTGATTTTTCAAAAATCAATCAAACAATCTAAATTCTTCATCTTCTTCCTCAGTTTCTCAATTTTTCTTCTCTATTTGATACGATCACGTATCATCTTATTTGACTAAACGAATACTATGAGACAGAGGTGATAAATACCATGCTCTCTCGTTTATATAATAAATTTGTTTAGTTTGACTTTTTTTAGTCAAAGAAGATAAATTTTCAGCTTTTCAAATAAATAAAATTATAATATATATTAATATAAATTAATTTTATTTCATAATACACATATGCTATAAAAATTATGAATAAGTAAAGTTTCAAGTTTATTTAAATCGGACAAAAACACAAGGACAAAAGTAGTACTAGTATAATAGAGAGCTAAATCCAAAGATATCTAAATCGAAGACCGGCCCCTAAATTTTGACCCTATAATTTTAGTTTCTTACTCCGTAGTTCGTATTCATATACTCGGTCAAAATAGACACAATATTCAAATCACTCATTTTCTAAGATACAAGTAAACACTTACTCCCTCCGTCCCTAAATAGATTACAATTTTTTTTCTCTCTCTTCTTGATAATTTTTGTTTGTTTACGCGATTTCATTAAGTATTTGATAAAATAAAATATTCTTGTCACCTCTTGTTTTGTAGAACTTTTGACGTAGTTTTTTAATATATAATTTTTATATCTTATTGATATACCAATTTGTAAATAAAATGATTTTAAAAAGTAGGAAATTTTACTCCGTAACTCGCAATTTTTAATCAAATTGGGACGGAGGGAGTATTATGATGTACGGACTCGTTATCAGTCTTTTTGCGAAAGACCCGGCTTTTGGTAAGGCCCGCCAGCGAGTCCTCTTTTTGTAGCCTACTCTCTTTGTCCCACTATATTTGTACACTCTCATTTTTGCATATCATTCAATACACTTTTTTAATTAATTTTATCTTGTAATTTGTATATTAAAAAATTATAGAAATTATATATTAATAATCTATATGTTAAGACAAATCAAACAAGATCACGCATAACTATATTTAGGCTTACACATTGAGAAAATTTGATGAGTCAAAGTGCTTAGATGAATAATTCCAAAAGTGAAAAGTGAACAAATATAGCAGGACGGATGGAGTATGTTTATTTATGCCCCGCCACTATTTTGAAATATTGTTTCCGATCAAAGAAATCACTTCAAATACGATTATAATTTATACGTAGTAACATACTGAGTATCATTTATTTTTAAAATATGATTTTTATATTTTTATCCTTAAAATAAAAATTTGTACCAGAGAAAAAGATTAGATTAAGAGTAAAATATTGAAAATATACGAAAAACAAGAGTTCCATGTTTTTGTTTCCATAAGAGTTAAAATACATTTACAGTGTTAATCATGATCATATACATTACCAAAAACGTATGAAAAATGCTAGGGTTACACCAAAAGTGTACCCCATTTGTTCCCCCCCCCCATTACCACAAAAATGGGCAAGAAACTAAAAAAAATTAAATAAATAAAAATGGGGTAAAAATGAGTGGTGGAGAAAGGGGTGGGGGGACAAATGGGGTACACCTTTGGTGTACCCTTAGCATTGCTCAAAATGTATTGTAAAATCTCCACATGATCAAAAACTCCTATTTTGATACTTTCTACTCCCTCCGTCCCATAACGTGTTACCTATTTTGACTAAAGTTAAAATTAAAGAAGGGATAATTTTGTGTTGACTTTCCAAAAATACCCTTGATGTGATGGGTAAAACTAGGATGTGATGTGTAGATTATTAGGAAAAAGGTATGATGTGATAGGTAGGGTTTGAAAAAGTAAGGGGTAAAAGTGGTTTTTTAATAGAAATGGGTAAGG